GTGTTATATAAATGGAGAAAATTTGTTTAAATTTTTTACCTAAATCTTAATTACAATAGTGTATTCTAACGAATCTATATAAATTGTAAGCTATTTGGTGATATATGTACGTTACACAAACTCTCAAAGTCAATGTCAAGAAACGAGTAGTAAAGTTTTTTCCCGGTAAGGAAATTATTGCTTGCAGCAGGTAGTCTCAATTGATTTTTTAGCGTAATAGCAAATAAATAATAAGCTTGCTCCAACTTATCACGAAAAATATTCCCATGTTTATAAATATTTAATGTTATCTTATGAATTTTTATGGTATTTCAGTATAATTTTATAATTCTTCTTAGAAACTATACAATGTTAGTGTTTAAATATAAATTATTGAATCAATACACTAAGACTTCTAATACAGTCTTTGCTATTCGAATCCGTCTAACTTTTAAATAGTTTCTTTCGTCATAAAAAGACACGCCATTATCGGCAAGAAAAAATTAACCTTAAAAATGACTTGTTTACATTTTAGTTCATTAATTTTAATTCGCCACTTTGATAACTATTTCTCCACCAGAAATAAGTGAGATTGAAGTTGGTTTGAGACTAAGACAGAGTTTTTGTTTTGGCATAAAATTGCTGTATCATCGGCAAACGTTGTGGTGACTACTGAATTACTTATTGGGATATCAGATGTGTAAAGTACATGCAAGAACACTTCCTTGTGGATCGTCAGCTTCTATTGGTAAATTATTAGAAGTATATGATTTACATTTAACATTAAATTTTTTATTATGCAGATACGATTCTAAAACTGATTGGACATTTACAGGTAATAGACAGCGTATCTTATATATGAGCCCATTATGCTATACTTTGTCAAATGCTTGTTTTACATCGAAAATATCACGGAACAATATTCTCTGAGCTCAAATGCGTGGCTTATTTCTTCTTATTTCTTTCGTTCATTATACTGTTCACTGGTTCAATAGTTTTATATTTTCCCCTAAAACCAAACTGTTAGGAGGGTATTACGAATGGTTTATGTGTTAAAAGCAGTGCTCTTTCAAAGAATATAGAAACACATGTCAGTAAGCTTATTGGCATGTATGAAGAGATAAGGGTGTGTAAAGTACATATATCTTTGCCTGATTTATGATTTATCATGGATGTTTTCCACTCTATTGAGTAAAAGCCAAGTTTAATGATGGCATTAAACTTAATGAAAGGCTTTTGATAAAATTTATGGCAAAAAAGGCTAAGTTTCTTGTCATGATGGGTGAGATGTTATCATATCCAGATGCCTTTTTACAGTGTAACTTGTTGATGATTATTAGAACATGATCATTAGACGAAATTTTCATGACAATAGATGGTGCATAAAGAGGTTGAGTGGGTAAGTCATAATGTCGTGTTACAGGATTTGGTTGGAATACCTCTTTTAAGATTTTGAATTAGATTTTTCTTCATGGTTTCACACCCAGTTTCAGAGAGAGTTTTTTATTGGAGAATCGGATTCTATGGGGGAATTGTTACCTTTTGCTAGCATTCCATAAAAAAAAATATAAGTTCCATAACAAAAAAATATGCAATCTTAATTTTTAAAAATCAACTCAGGTTTTAGACAACAAGATTCGTTAATGAATCTGGATAATTATGCAGGTATTTTCATGACTGCTCTAATAACAACCAATAAGGTCATATAAAATGGATCACTGCTTAAACAGGTATGGTGATGATCTTCCTTTAAAAGCAACTAATAACACGATATTCCGATAAAACTATGAAAGTTAGAATAAAAGTTAACACAAATAAAATGAAAGCATTTCTATTTTAGATTGGAACAGCACAACTTTAAAGGTGTACAAATCTTGCAATATCTGCGTTTGATGATTAATGAGCACAATATACAATTCTAAGTACTAATAAAGTGTTAAGTATAATCTGCATCCACTATATTAGTTTAATAAAAAATTACGAAAAGTAAAAATGTGTTAATAATAAAACTTTAATAAAAAACGGGGAATGTATAATTGATATACTTATAGATTAGGCAATAGGTTTTTGCCTGACAGAAATACAAATTGATAAACAATTTTTGAAAGCAATATTATGACCAACATTTTGAAATCGTCTAAAACATTTATAATGTGACATAAAGGATAAGATACAACAATGAGTGGTATGAATTGATAAATGAATATGCCATCATTAAATTCGTAAAACAGTAAGGTTTGAAAATTAGACATTTTTCGTTAACTTACAGTGGAAAATGAATGGACAATAGGCATTATTAATTGGAAAGAAATCAATAATAATGTGAAGTGATTATTCAACAGACTCAGGTCCTTTAAGAACACTTTGAATTAGAACACTTTTTTTTTTAAATAATAACATATATAATATTATAACAATTAAATTATAATATATATCTTAGTGTAGTAAAAATTCAAATTTCTATTTAAACTGGTAAAAGAATAAAAATAATTTTATTAAATAAATACATTAAAATGCAATTGTTAAAAAAAATAATTATTTTGTGAACAATAGATGTGAGTTGTAAATGAATATCTTTGTTTAGGGCTATGATTATATCAATTACATTTACCTTTTATATTTTAGAGAACGATATGTTTTGAGAAAAATGTTTGCATATTTATTATTATATATTTTTTTTTATTAATATAAATTTGAAAGTGATTGCTACATTAGTAAAGATTTTTAAAGCACACCTTAAAATGAATATTTAACAACAAAATATTATTATCAAATTAATAAATCAAGCCCATTGGGATTATGAGTAATAATTCCCATAATATAAATTATTATTATTGTTTTGTTATTACTCAAAAAAATGAGGCACTTAAAACTCATTGTTTTTTGCCCTTCACATTATTTTGATTAATAAATATAATAAGTTAATTAAAATATTAACAATATACAATAAAATAGCATTAAAGAACATTTTAAACACATATGAGCTTTCTTAAAATCTAAATAAGATAATCGATTGAGCAATACTTGTATCTCTACCTATAGAAAAAGATATCGAAGTTTAATTCTATGTAGTATTCTTAAAAGGCAAATCAATTAAGTCATACCCATATCTCCACCTATTTTTCAATTTATTTAAATGTCAGTAAATAGAGCTCAGTTTATAAGCTTATGTCATGAAACATTGCTTATAAGGCTCTCGGAATTCTAGACAAATAAATTTATTTGGTTGACTATATTACCAAATATTCATGGCAACTAAGCTTAAATTTTAATGTAGAATATACTCGTATGTCCAAAAAATTTTACATCCAAAAATAGATTTAATTATAAAAAATTAATGAATTATAGCATAAATATCTAATTTGTAGCAATATTATCAGTGATACCCTTATGAAAGAAACAATAAAATTCTATAAAGTAGGTTCTAAACTACTTTTTATCGGCACAATAGGGTTTAGAGACTTACTCTATACCCAGAAGGAGACATAATAGACCCAACAGTCGCAGATCCACATATCATAGCAATAATAATAATAAATGTAAATGACTTCAATAAAGTTTTTTATTTTTATACATATATACATATAATATACATATATACGAAGTATGTCCGTTATGCGCTCAATCCAAAAAGTAAATATGAAATATTATTTTTATTATTTTTTTTAATTTGACGCTTTTTTCTCAATCATACACTTTATTTTAAATCAAATTAAGTTTATAACAACATATTATTTTTTTAAATACAAATATGCAATCTAAAATTTTATTTTAAACTTTCACAATACTTGTAGTCGACCGATGAAAATAATTATTAAAACTAATTTTGTTATTAAAAACAGTTTATATTTTTTAGCGATGAATTTTGAAACATTGATCGTAAAATAGAAATATATTATTGCCGTAATACATATGCTTTATGTCCGGGTGCAAAATTTTCTAAAAACCCTCGTACAAATAGAGCACTTTAAGGGCAGAGTAAGTAGAGATTTTAAGAAGAAGATTTTAAGCTAATACAAATTAAAATGACCATTCAAACACGCAATTATAATTTATGAATACATACAAAGGTGTTATTATTTTTCATTATATAGTTATAAACATATAAACGAAACACATAAATGGTGGCACATAAGAGAAGTCTTGATGTTATCTGATAATTAGCTTTACTATAAACATTTCACATCTATTTGATTATTCTTTAATGTTGTTTTCTGGAGGATTATCATAAGTTATTGGATTCCTTTTTTAAGTTTTATACGGTAATATGGATAAATATAGAAATAATATTTCTTTTTATTACATGTCAATACATATATAATAATATAAGCTTTAAGTTGAAAGCTTTACATACTAGCACCTGATAGACGTCTTAATATTATTTAATGATCAGTTATGCTAAAAAAAGGCATCACAACTCTTTTGTCAACGCATGCATAACATACATTAAATATGATAGAGATATTTTTGTTGAAGTTTTTCGTAAGCTATAGGTAGCCTTCTTCAAGTTTTATATGGTACCGCAAGGCATCACAACGCTTTTGTCACTGTCCAACGCATGCACAATGTACATTAAATATGCTACATTTTTTTTCTGGAAGTACCGCAATGGGCAAAGATGGATATTACCAAATATGACAGACTTGATACGATAACCCAGAAGAGAAAACAGTCTTGATAGTAAACGATAAATAGATAAACGATAGACAAAATGGTTTGTAAAATGAATAAACAATGTGTGCTTTATAGCATCTCCGAAGTCCCTTCACTACATCACACATCACAAACATTGTTATTAAAGTGACAAATATAAAAGTGGTTATTAAAGTAAAGAGGAGAGATATAATGTGCTACATTTTTATATTTTTACACATTTATGATAAACTTTACAAAAACTTCATTATATGTATAAAAACGTCACTCATACACTCATGCTTTTCTTTTATAACTTGATAGTTTTATTTTTGAAACGAATTAAAAATTATAATTTTAGAAGTTTTTATTACTCTTTTAATACTCACAGGCTAACGAATGGCCGATTTAATGCTGGCATATCCCGGCGTCTATTTAATGGTGGCGAAAGTGACAACGATAAAAAATCTTGCTGTGCTTTATCCTCATCGATGCTGGTACTAAAAATGCGTGTGGTTGGCAAATAGCCAATTTGTTGTAGAAAGTCGTCGCGATAGGTAAGTTTGGTTGAGGATTGCGATGAAGTTAGTGGATAGAATGCTCCATGTTTGGCTGCGTTGGAGTGATGTGATGGTGAAGCGGTACCACCATGAAATCCCAACGTATGATGCATATGATGATGAGCATGTGTATGTGTGTGTGAATGTGTATGTGGATGATGAAAATGCGGATAGACAGGAGGCATTTGTTGTGGGTAATGAACTGATAATGGTTGAGTTGGCAAGTGTGACAAATAAGTCGGTTGATTTTGGCTGCTTATTGGAGGATTAATGATTTTATCATCGAAACTGCGACGGAATGCATAACCCTTTAATGAGCTATAATTACGATGCGTCAATGGTGAAGTACCTAAATCAATAGACGCAGCTGGTCCTAATAGCTTTATAGTATTCAAATAGTTTGGAGATGACGATGAAGTTTGTGCAGTATTGCCAACAGCGACAGGGGAACAACCAATACTACTACTGCCTGAAGCTATAGCTGATGTTCCACCAACACCAACATATGAAGATAAACTATTTGTAATTGATGAGCTATGCAATGGGCTTAGTGTAATGGACTTTACTGTTTGCTGGTTAGTGCCTAACATTGTTGTTAAGGAGGGCGAAGTACGTTCGACATACAGCAAATTAGCTGCAGTACTAGTCGGAATACTTGTGCCATAGAAGCCAGTGGATGAAGTCGATAAACCATTGCTGAGACCACTTAAACTGGAACTACAAAGTCCATCAGTGCTACTATTGTTATTGCTGATTATTGATGATGTCGTTGTCACGAGTACGACATTGTTTAGTAGGGATGAAACTGTGCTTGACGTTGAACCGACCGTTGCAGATGATGGCGATAGTTGTGTTAGTGATGGAGTCGAAGATATGACCGATGAAATACCGCTATCACTGCTGCAAATAATACCACAATTTGATATACCCGAACTGCCAATGCAAGCAGCATTTAAAACAACCGAATTATTTTGTGGCAACGGTGAGTGTGACGGCGAAATTATATGAGACGGTGATGCTGACTTCGTTGTGTCACTGAGAATAGATCCGAGTCCACTATATTGTTGATGCTTTAATATGAGTAAGGCGGTTTCTTGCAGACGCGGCGGCACTTGACTCTGTTGCTGTGCATGCAGCTGTTGAGCACCTGCAGCAAGACCAACACCACTGACACTGCCCGACAATGCTGCCGATGCCGCAATACTTGTTGGTAAAACAGGTGCCAGCTTTGTTGTTGTTGTTTGGGTAATGGCTGCACTTAAACAATTTGCTACTGTCGTTGATTATGTTGATGGTTGATGTGCGTTTGTATATGTTGTGAGTATAAATGTGATTGTGGTTGTAGAGTGCTTATTGCTTTCACTACTCGTTTTATTATTGGTGTTGATGCTATGTGCCATCGAACTTCACTTTTTCATGCCGAAATTTTTTTGTAGTCGTTCGTTAATTAAATACACATATAAGTATGTATGTATATTTTCACATATTTTTTATTTTTACTAAATGTTTGCACTTAATATAAAGTTTTACTTTACTGAATTTTTAAAAAAGTTTTATAAATTCCCTAAAAAAGACTGTTTAAAGCTATATAAGCGAAGTTTATACAATAAACTTTCGGAGCACCATCCCTACTGAGTATGTACTGCTGCATATATGTATATGCATGTGTGTCTATGTATGTATGTGTACACAAACTTTTAAGAATACAAAAAAAGTCACTTTTTCGATATATACGCGTTTATTTTGAATTTTAATTCGGTTTTAAATTTTAAGTTTTAAAAGTGATATATATTTTAACCTTTCTAAGTTGATTATTACTTATTTTAATATTACAAAAAAAAATTATTGAATACTCTTAGACTTTTCCAACCAATTTCAACGGACTCATTTTTCTAAATGTGCAGTTATCCGTATTCGGTGCTTGTGTGCGTTTGATTACTTCGTTAGCTGGCGAAGTTTATTTCCCGATAATGGTATGTCCATAGAACTCCCGAAAATACTCACTGCGCATGTTCAATACTGCTAGAAAACAACAATAACAATATATGAGCGAACCTAACGTATTCTACAAAATTTTCATATTCGCCTCTCCTCAAATAACTACAACATTCCAAAACATTGGAGAAGAACAACAATTATTGCTTAGCCGCAATAATCAAAACACTCGCTAATAGCAACAAAACTAAAAAAGTTTGTACATCAAACGCAAACACACACACATTCAAACATTCAAACATTAACACGCACACACAAACACACAAATATACAAACATGCATAGATGTGAATGCGGCTTAATAAATCCTACTAAGTAAAAATATAACTAAGCAATGATTAAGACCACAACGAAGCAAGTCAAACCATCATCAGAGGCAATAATAAAAACAACACGGCATCCACGCAACCCCCTCGTCGCTGTATGCTTTGTTTTGAAAGGGCATACATAATCAAAACGGTTCGGTTGTACTCTTCGCCGAACAAAACGAGGGAAATTTGAAAATTCCAATTGTGATACATGTGCGCACATGGGGAGCAGTCAATTTGAAAAATCTTATGCTTCATTGTTTTGCTTATTGTTATTGTTGTCATTACAAAGTGTGCACGTTCCACTTCGGATGCTTTTGCTTGGGTTTGAGAGTGAATTTTTTTTTGAGGTTATTGGCCAGCAACAAAATATGTTTTTGACAGTTTGATAATGTTTGTATGACAACATATGTGCAACACATACAACATCTATTCATACATATGGATTGCATATATACTCTAATGCGTAACTACTGTAACCTAATGGTTACTATATTGAATTTCTGTAATGAGTTCCACTGTTCAATATGTTTTTAAAATTATGTTTTATTTTAGAAAATTTTATTTTATTAATTTGTTTATTAATTACACAAAATAAAACCTACATAAGTAACACGGCAATAACAAAATCAATGAACTTCTACTTAAATGTTCTTAGACTACGACTACGTCATAAACTACGATTATCAGCTAATTCATAATGCGAAGATGAGGAAACTCGAAGATGAGGAAACTACTATGCATATTCTTTCTCATTGTCCAGCTTTAACAACGCACAGAAGAAACTTATTTTATATGGAATTTCTGTTATCAGAACAGATTAGGAGCTCTTCTCGAGATTCAGTTCTGGACTTTATAGCTTTAAAGGGCTTTGTGTAATCAATAGTGTACCACGTAGAAGCAATAAGGACAATATACAAAACCCGCATCGAGCTCCTACGATGCAACCATAAATTGAAAAGCTATGTAATGCATTTAGTAGGCGAATGCACAATTTTTAAAAAACACAAAACATTATACTTTGTAAACCTTCACTCGACGTCCATGAAACCATGCAAATACTGAATGGCTTGAACTGGAAGTTGTTAACAGCCTTTATTAAAAATGTATTAAAATGCAAGCTAAAGATAATAGAAGAAGATTTCTAAATTGATTTATATGAAATTTGTAAGTCTAATTAAAATAATTTAATTAAATATTTATATTGTACAATTAAATTTATTAGTAATAAACTAAATTTACGGCGGAAATGCTATAGCTGTAAACTTTATATATATAATATAATGGTTATATGTTTCTATGTAATACAACAAATTTAAAATGAAGTAAAATAAAGTTAGAATACTAGTACTACTACTAATCAATAGTGAAATTGGTACAATAAGACAGTTCTTATCGCAGTACCGGGTGTTGGACGATTTCACATAAAAAAATAATAATAAATAAAATAAACAAATGTTCTTAATTACTCTAAGAAGATTTTTTAGCAATTTTGTGTATACATATACACTTATTAACTAAGAAAATTATCAATCCTCAAAGCAATTTACAATGAACATAAAGAAAATAAGTAATATTTTTTAAACATTTAAAAAAACAAATTCGCTGATATAAGTAAAAAGTGATATTTTTTACTAATCGAAATTTGGTGAGTTATGAGTTAAAACTTTAGAGGAAGCATATTTCTGTGTTTTTCAAGCAAGACACACGGGCGTATGAGTAACAATATTTAATATGAAAAAATTATATATTTATAAAAAAATTTAATATTTCGAGTCAGCGCAACTGGGCACTTTTACTCTTTAATAGCTGGGGGTACTACAGGGTCCCACCCATCTTATTGACTTATTGCCTATAAGTATTGCCTATAAGCTTCATGATTATTCAGTGATTGATCTAAGATTTGCGTACCTCCCCGTGCGGAAAGTGATTACTCTAAGATTAGATAGTGGTAAGTAGGATAGCCTGTCAATTTTCGCATATAACTTATTCATATTTTAAATTAATCAGCACGGATGCACAAAAAATTTCATAACGAATTAACGACTAACATCCAAAATAACAATTAGACAGACAGAAAGCTAGACCCACGTTGCTAAATCAGTTTGTCTTCTAATGCTGATTAATAGTAAAACTTCATTAAGTGAAATTTAGGTGACTATCTGACGTTAAGATAACAAATAACAGTGGTTTTAATAGCATCACTTTTAATAGGTAAAATTTGACGCAAATCAATGGTTTAGCAAGTATTTTAGTGATTCGACTTTGCCAAAATCAATTATTTGTCACTAGTTTTTTAAGTGACATATATGTTATGTTTGTTAAATATAACAATAAATACTCTGGATATCCGAAATCAATGGTTGCACCCGTTCACATTAAAAACTTCACAAAATCCGTTTTCAAAGATTGTTTATTGAACTTTAAAAATGGTACTGGCAACTTATAAATATCAAAATAAAACATAAACACTAGTTTATGTTGATGTTGCGAAAGGATTTTTCGAAATAAAGCAATAAATTAATAAGAACATAGTGAACTTTTTATTGTAATATGTTATAATGGATGAAACTTTAAACCATTAATGCACTCTAGAGTCAAAACATTAGTCAACTAAAGAGACAAAAATCGATAAAAGCAGTTGAACAATTAACTGTGCACAAATAACATAAATTGAGAAGAAAAAATCCACTTTCACCAAAACAATGAACCATTTAAGAAGTCGATCATAATGCTAAAGTTGCATTTTAATTTGGATCTTCACCTACATGTTTTTCGTATAAGGCTCTGAATGAATACCAGCTGTTTGCAAACATCGCAAGAATGCAACAGTGCATAACATTTAGCGACACTACCTGCCTCAGCCATAGCGACGACCCATTCACGACCACAAAATTAGTTTAAGAATAAAAGTCAACTTAACGATGAGATACCTGCTCTGCTCCTATGAGAAAGTAATACCCCAAAGTAATTACACATAATTCTTAGGAATGCACATCGGTTCAGTCGATGGAAAAAGCACACAGAAGCCAAAGTAAGCCAATTAAAACTGAAACAATAATAACTAAAGTGGCTGATTAACAAGAACTCTAAACTTAATGTCATCCATAAAGTGCAACTTTACAATACAACGATAAAACCTATATGGACCTACGAAATTGAACTCTAGAACTCTGCTTCTCCATCAAAAATTCCTTCGACAAATAGTCGGTTCCCCCTAGTATATGAAACACACGAATATTCAATTCACAGATGTAATTGCCAGGTAACGCACAAAAGTACACATTTAAACTCAGGAATCATCAAAACCCACTTCCAAGAAATCTCATCCAAAGCACTGGAGCCTAGCAACTCAAAAGGAAAGGGTTTATACCCAGCTATTGAAAAACAACTCCCACATGGAAACGAAATTGGACGAAGCTTTGGCTAAGGACAATTAATTATCTATTTTTATTTAAATAATTTAAATAAAATATTTTATTTTATTTAAATAAAATAAATAATTTTAATAATTTTAAAAAATGCTTGTACAGGTATAAGAACATTTTTTATTAATAGTAAATAAAATCAAATATTAGAAATTATGAAATATTATTTATAAAAGAAACAATATTTATTACATTTGTGAAATGTTTATATATAAATTTCAGATGTATAATAAATACCTAAATATACTGCTACAAATCATTAATGCAACTTACCTGTATATAGACGTACATTGTAATTGGTGAATAGCGCGAAGACTTTCTGCATTTTTTTAAAAACTGATAAATATACACAATAAAAGACTGTTTTTATCCCAAAATTATAAAACTTAATTGAATTTAAACAAATTTGAATATTTTAGCTCCCTTGAAATTTTTTTAAAGTTATTTTCACTTCAAGGTATTTCTAAGCTAACGGAATAAAATTGAACACATGACTACATTAAATAAATTTTAATTTTACTTAATGAAATCTTACACACATGTCAACAAAAA